ATTGCTCAACAGCTTACTAATAAATCCACTAATCAGCCCTTAGTTTGCAGCTCCCTGATTCATAAATCTCATCATAACCGTACACGGCCACACCACATAATTTAAGCACAATTCTTTTATGTAAATGCTACTACAATATCACATACTATGTGATAACCCGCACCTGGTGCAGGATAAAATAATTATTATTTATTTAAATTTAATATAATATTTGTATATATATTTAATTATTTTTGACTTTAAATAATAATTAAATATTATTATTTAAACAATTTGTTACTTATCTACAATATCGAATGAATTAAAAAAACTATAATTTTTATATTTTTAATTTGAAAAACAATAATTATATCTATAAATTATCTCTTTGTAAATGAAAAAAAATAATTATTGACTCCAAAAACTTTTAATCAAAAAATATTATCAAAAATATAATAATAAAGCATAATTGAATATATGATAAATAGTAAGTTGAGAATATAATGTATACATAATAAAATAGAATATTAAATTTAAGATGTAATATGGTTAGAGTTTGATTCGTTTTTGCTATGACTGATTATATAAAAAATAATGTGACAAATAAAATTTATTATAATTAGCTTATATATAATAATTGATGTTTATCCATCTTATATATTGTTTTTACTCTAATAAGTTTTAAACATTGATGACTTATTAAACACAAATGTCACTATCGTTTCTACTTGAAATATTTGAATATATATATATATATATATATATATATCTAAATTAACAAAATAAATTTGAATGAATATATTACTTATATTTAAATTATATTAGTGAATGCGCCATAAATTAAATTACTTATATTATTAAGATATATCAAACACAATAAATTTCATTTTTATTAAAATTATTAATAAATTCTCAATTAGCTCATAACTATATTATATTACATATTAAATACTATTTATTGTATACTAAATTTTAGAAAGAGTCTAAATTATGAGCTAATTGAGAATTTACTTTTAGAAAGAGTCAATTAAATCAAATTATAATTATTTAATTTTATTTATAGTGACTATTATGAACTCAATAAGAGAAAAATAAATTTTTGGCAGAAAATATAATTAAAGAAATAATTAATATGATATATTTTTGGTAAGAAATAAAGAAAGAAAATATCTTAATAAATTAAATGCTGATTTATAAAATGAAACATAACATATGTATGGACCTGAAATATATAATGGCATATCATGTAATTAGTTTAGTAATCTAAGTCTTTTTAAAATAATTAGCTAAAAATAAATGTGGGGTTGACACATCAGCATAATGACATTATTGTAAATACTTACAAAAATGAGGTTATTCTTTAAAAATGCTTTTCAATTAATATACAAGGGATTTATGACGCAAGTCCTAGTTCTAATGGATTTGGAAACTTGATATACAATTAACCATAGTAGTAATTCGTAGTTTTTAAATTTATACCGATTTTTCTTTTTCAGTTTTTCCTTAAACATAAGATGGTTTATAAATCAAAACGATGTTCCACTATTAATATCGATCAACTAATAAAACGACATTCTATTAGATCGTTTCAAAAAATATATACCACCAAAACATGTAGGGTTTTCAAATATTTTCTTAATGTAAAAATTACTGTAGAAATGTTGCAACTATACTCGTCATAAATTTGTTATATTTAATTTTGTTGCTTTCGACTTTTTCATATTTTTCCCTTTTTATGTATTCTTTTATTACAGATAACTGTTACTAACTTTTGGAAATTATTTATGATTTAGGTTACATTATTATAATGGAAGAAATGATGATAAAAATTCCAATTTACAGTATAGGAATTTAAGTACCTTCTTCTTTTTTGTGCTAACTATTGCAATCTACTTTCTTTGGGGACAAATTATTTAAGTTAGGTTAAGTGTTGTATGGGCACAATGATTCTGTTTTCGGAGATAACTTTTTTAACACGCATTATGTTGGGTTTTGGACCTAGGTGATGCAACTGTGACAAAAACAAACACAAATCACTAGGCTAATCAACATATTCCAAAATTTACCATTTTTTTAACTCAAAAGCAAACGAACAAAAGTTTCTACTACTTCTATATTGTATCACCATCGAGCAACTAATGTTGACAATAATATGTAATTAATTCAGGGATTAAAATCTATTGAGATTTTCATATAAGACATCAAAGAAAATTGTATAGATTACTCCCAAAATTAAGAAAATGTATGTATTTGAATTTGACAAACGTGGGATCATCAATGGTCTAGTGGTCCAAAGTGCTCTCCTCATCCACCTTGGCAAATCCAACTCCGATGCTAGTCAATGTCTCATCACGTGGGAGCAATGTCTACTAGAATCCATAAATGGAAAACTCAAAATGGTATAATGTCATTTTAATTGTGTAATTAGGAAAATAATAGTTCTAATGTTGCAAACTAAACGACGATGATTATCGGGTCCCTCTATTTTCTTGGGAAATAACAAAATTGGATCCATATATTACGACAGTACCTTTATATGATATGATCTTTGGATAAGCTTTGTAACCTTTGATGCTTAACAGCACCAAGTGAGTGCTAACAAGTAAAGACAAACATGCCATTTACGATTTCTAAAGCATATGCTATCATATTGGTTAACATATGTTTTCTTAGTGCTTATGAAAAATTAGTTATACAATCATTTTTTGTTTTGTTAAAGAAACATTTGTACAATATTATGATGAACAGGATCAAGAGGGTCCAATTGAAAATGAGTGACAACTAAGATGACGTTCACGTTGTCCCGGTCCTTGTAAATTTCCTAGGAGCTATAGAGAGACATTACTCTATGGACCAACTCTTGCTTTACCTCTTCCATAACGTAGGACCCTTCTCCAATCTCCTCATTTGTCTTCTTTTGCCTCTTACTCTATAATAAAACAAAAATTAAAATCGATTTTTAGTTTTGTCTTGAAAACGTTTTCAAATTTTATCCAAAAAATATTTGAAAGATAAACGCGTTAGAATCTATAAATTCTTTTTGATTTATGAAAGAAAAATACTAAAAACTATCAATCTCTGAAAAGCAAGCACATATTATGATTTTTTTTTGTTCTAACTGATTATATTAATTTTAAACTTAAAACGAAACTACAAAAACAGATAGAAGTAGATAACTAGATGCCAAGAAATGATCACTTGTTACAGAAAAATAGAACAAAGCAATACAGAGATAGATTATACAGCTTAAGCCAAAAACAAAAACTAGAAGCTTTTTTAAAAAGGTTTCTGAGATTGATCTGAAGACGATCTGAAGTTCTTCTGCCATTAAAGACAAGCGAACAACAATAATAACTCAAAATATTGTTAAGACTGAGCATTTGAGAAGATTTTTCATAAAGAAAAAGAACGGATTCTGAGATACACCGGTAAGTTGGCAATACTCAAAAACTGAAACACTATATTATGATAAATTCAATAAAACTGGAATCGCAAAAAATATGGTACAAGTTTATTTTTGAGTCACTTATGTATCACTATAGTAATAATGTTGTAAGAGAACAACTAACATTTGAAGGTTAATGCTAACATTTTTATATATCTAATCAAGAATCATTTAGAGCAGCTCCATCGTATGATATGAACTGTGTATTTAAAAAAAATAAAAAATAGAAAAAGAAAAAGGTAAAAGAAAAGGGTAAAACTATATGAAAGAATGTGAGAATCGAGCCGTATTTTAAACTTTCTATCTAGTTGTCAAATTATAATTGGTTTTGTTTTGTTTTTACTATTAAAAATAAATTATTTACTTTAATTATATTCAACTAATAATATTTTAATTCTTCAGATACTCTTCTTTAAGCTTAGTGAGCTTAATGATAATAAAAAAAAATTATAATAACAAATAAGATTCTTACAAGTTAAGGTGTAGTCTAGTGACAAGGCTTTGATGTATGTCCCTTTTTGCTCTTGTTGTTAACAACTTGCAAATTAACTTGGTCGATCGATTGATAACTACATTGTCTTCACATCATGAAGTCAACGAAAATAACACAAACCCTTCAACTAAATCCCACAACTTGTACAATTTTAGAAGCGAAAAATACGTAACGAAAAAAATAAAACACCATTTGACCATTTTCTCAGAAAAACAAAAAACCTCAGAGTGACACTATGACAACATCTCACTATAACAACATCTCTTGAACGAGTAGGACTAACAATGTTTAAGTAAAAACTACACTTACACATGATATGTTATACTCATTTTCGATTTATAGCTTTAATTTTGTCTGCATGAAGAGATGCCAAAAGTGGGTCAATCTTACGAACATTAAGAGTTATACACAACATTGAAGCATGGAGTGTTGCTTTGAAATGGATCTTCTACAGAAGCAGGACAGTTTGAAAACATTGCAATAAATACAATTAGTTACCAACAAAAAAAAAACTATCCAGCCTGCTTTGAAAGCTGCTCTTCTTTAGATTTATTATGCATATTGTTAACACAATCATTTTATTTTTTAATGGTTTTGTCGTGTTGGCCAAATCTAGACATTCGATTCATATAATACATTTTTGAAAAATTCCTGAATGTTGTTATTGATTGGTATGTTTTGTATAAGCATAAGTCTCGTCCATCTCTTGAGGTTCTTGCCAAATCCTGAACCCGGTTCGTCTTTCTCCCCCATCTCTTGAACTAACCGAACCTAACCGGACCAGCTATGATCACATTGACCCGGAGAAGATACCACCAGTCGAGTAGAAGTAGCATTTACTACTCTCTACGCTACTGCTTTGTGCAATGCAGCTGCCGTGGAAGTCAGGTAACTATAATCGATTTCTTGAAAACCGAAACCCAATACAAGGTTCAAGAATGTTTACGGATTATTGTTATTTTTTTCATTCAGGCTCTACTCTACTATTCTTTCTAGATAGCTTGGTACGACGCCATTCTCGTGGAGAAGCTTGGTCTCACAGTCAAACCTCGATGCATCTCCTTCACTTTAACTCAATAACTTCAGAGATTCTTTAAACATTTTAAGGGCGTTAACATCCGTTAGATTCTAATTTTTACTTCTACTTCAAGCCTGAGTTTGTACAAGGTTCGAGTTCTGCTTTTGCTACAAAGTCCAAGATGTTAAGATAATCAAAATATACAACATTGATGCACTTACAAGACTCTTTGCTCTCAATCATATATATACTTAAAGAGCTATGTTACACTTGTTCCAGGACAGTCTTGCCTGAAAAACCTCTGATCATTCAATCTCTGTGGCTCCTGGTTGAGGAGGAGGAGCACGATACATGGCAGCAATAGTACGAGGGAAGAACATTTGCCTGACTCCCTCTGCTTTAATGATCGGAAAGATGATGCCTGAAGCACTCTGCGCAAGAGGAAACATCAAAGATCAATAAGTGTTTAACAGAAGCAACTCTGTTTTGAGAGGATGTGAAGAACAAACTTACCGAGATTACCCTAGCTCCGAGCCAAAAGCTTTTGATCGAAGGAAACGGTAGCATTAAACGACCAACAGCGTAGATCGCCACGGCAAAGAAGTGTAGAACTAGACTCAGAGGACGAGGGTTTAAACCAGAGAGCAAAGCAACAGGACCAGATGAGCAAACACCTCCAAGGCTAAGATAGTCGAAGCAAGCTTCACGCATTTCCCTCTTCGCTTCATCTGAAGATGCTAAAAAGACCTTGTACAACGCACCCGCCAATGTATTAATGGTAGAAGCCACAGGCTGTACAAAGCGCCACACACATTAAAACTTTGAATCAAATCAACACATAAGGGACCGTTAACTTTATCCAAAGGTGGTGCTTACTTTTCGCAGTGTGTAAAAGGATTCAATGTACTTAGTAAGTGCTTCTTTGTCATTAAGGCTGCGTATTGGCCTTAGAAGATCACGGAGCACAACGATATCTGCCAATGCAACGGTCATACCACCGCCGGTTAAAGGATGTCTCATGTTGAATGCATCTCCGAGAAGAAGAGCTCCGGGAGTAGGAACCGGATCAGCAGGCATGCTCCGGTTCGGCATGGTTCTGATATTACCCTTTTCAACCGCGGCGATGAAAGCTTCACGGACCTCCACTGGTACTTGTGGAGCGACCTGTGTGATCAGATACTTTGCCATTTCACCGTTTGCAATGGGAGGCACTTTCTGACCCGGTACATCGACTAAGCAACGGACTTCGAAACTGCTGATGGGATATAACAAGATTGGTGATGGGTCACCGAGAACAACATGGCCGTGATTCGCAAACGGGAGCTCACAATTCTCTAAGACAAGACCAACGAAAGTAGAGGGCACATCAACCTGATTTGGATATCAAACTGAGTAAGTTCCACAAATAACGAAAGAGACTTTCCTCCTAAGAGAGAACAGAGGCTACCTTAGGTTTGCAGAGAGAGCGACGCAAGTTGGAGAAACAACCATCACATACAATGGTGAGAGGAGCGTATGATCTAAGCTCATTGCCGTCTTTCGTTTTGTACTGAACGCCTTTGATTGTTCCGTTTTCTTCAAGCAGCGAAGTAACTGTTCCTTGCTCCAATCGTACACTGAATCACGAGACAGAGCATTTACAATAAGCAAGAAACACATATCAGATTTCGAAATAAAAGAATAAAAAAATGATTACTTTGAAAGTGAAGCGGCTTTTTCTCGCATCCTCTGCACAAATCTACCATTGTGGAAGCTTCTCCCAGCTACATCCGAATCAAACGTTTCCAAGGGGTAAGAAAGTTTAGTATGCTTCCCATCTTTGAACAGAGCATAACCAAGAACTCGTTGAGCATCTATCTTCTTCACACAATCTACAACAACTCAAGTTAAATAATCACAAACAAATCTATTAATCAAAAATCGATAGAGTATATATAAAAGATATTGAGCTCATGCGTCTAACCCTCAAGGCCGAGCTCGATTAGCTTCAAGTAACCACCAGGTTGAAGCAATTCACCGACGATTCTGTCTTGCTCAGACAAGTCTCTCTCTATTACATGAACTCTTCGTCCTTCCTGGCAAAAAGAAGACAAGAAGTTACGTCTTGAACACATAAACAAGAAACACACACATTTGGAGCAAGAACCAAGAAACAAGCATATCTTATCTATCTTCATTGTTCCCGGAACTAAAGATCACACTTTTGTAACTAATTTGTTTCTTAGTGATTTATAATTTATGTAATAGTAAAATTGTAAAATTTGCACAGCTGATCACACATTATTGCCAAAAAATCCTGAATTTAGTAATTACAAAAAGCAAAAGCGTTCTAGAAAGTTTCCAGAAATAGAAGTGAAATCAGAAGAACAAGAAAGAATCTGAAGAATCCAAAAAATCGACAGAAGTGAAGTTTCGATTAAGAGACTTGCCTTGCCGAGAGTATGAGCAAGAGCGGCACCGGCAACACCAGCTCCGACGATGATAACATCGATGCCGGAATCATCCTCCGTCGATACGGCGTCGTTCTGAGAAAGGACGAGCCCACGATTCTTCTTGTTACTCCGGTTTAAATTCGCATCGTCACCACTGCTCCGGCGTAAAACGCAGAGAATCACAATTGCGAATAGAGAAGAAGCCACAAATGTCCCTAGAATGAACTGATCCAATTCAATCGCCGGCGCCATTACCGTCTTCTTCGCAGAGATCAGGGAGGAGCGTTTGCGTCTCTCTTCCGCCGCTTTGACACGGCGAATGAAGGTGGCTCCGGTGGTTAAGGAGGAGTTTCTGAATCGACGCGTGGAGGGAGAGAGACGAGGATTTGTGTAGAGAAACGAAGATCTAAGAAGAGATGTGGTGGCTGTTAATCGAAACAGTGGAAAGTTCTGGAGTACGACCGATTTCATAATGTTTGTTTGTTTAAGAAATGTATTTCTTTTGGCAAATCGTAAACTGTTTAATAAAATAATATAGTGGTTAAGATAAAAAAAAAGTTTAAACAGGAGTTAGATTATAAAGTAAGTGCTGTTAAAAGTAAAATTAACCAAGCTCTTAACAATATTTGTTAACTAGTTAACTAGTTAGCAAATGTCATGCAACCAACCCAAAATGATCAATTTGAGTGTTTTTATTATGGAGCCTATCTCGTAAAATATAACATTATTGAAGCAGCAGGTACTATTGTGTACTATTGAACAGATTTCGCGAGTTTTTCAGTAATAATGTTGTTCAAAAAAAAAGTAATAGACTTTTGTTCGATTATGTTTAAAAAATCTATGGTATAATCATTAAAATATGGACGATCCATGTTGATGTTGGTATATCTTTTATGTATTTTATTTGAAATACATAAAATAGAAATCTAACACATTTCTAAGATTAGGCATCTCGACAATTCTAAGACTACGTTTTCCATAAGCTGAGATCCCAACATAAAAACAACTAACACTCTAAAAAGAACTAAAATGGGTTATTGAAAGATGAAGTTATAAAATTATGATTGATTTTTAGAGTTGAAAGATTTGTTTAAAAGTTTTTTGTTAAATTTGAAAAGAGATTATTTATTTACAGAACGTATGAAAATATTTTTTTATAATAACTTTGAGACTAAGGGAGGTTATTGGGAAAAAGATTTATGTAGATTTTCAGAATTCTAAGATTCAGTCATTACTGGTTTACTGATTCTTAAAATTTTACTATAATTCATTATTATTGGTTTAAAGATTTTAAAATTCCATCCAAAATTTTTTGTTATTCAAAAAGTTTGGTTTTTAAAGATTTTACTAGTGCTTTGTTCATGCTACACGTGGGTTATATAATTATATTGTAGTTTTATAAAAAGGTTGTCAATTAATTTTGTGTTTAATATTGTGATAAATTACAAAGTAGTATATTTGCATGTGATTCTTAGATGTGGTCGAGCGAAGTAAATATCAGAAAGATGTATATATATATGTGATTTGAAAAAAATGTTATTTGAAAAAAAAAATCTTTTCAGTTTTATGTTTCATGAACTTTTGCAAATGAAAATTAAGAAATGGTGAGTAACTGTCTTTAATCACCGGTTCTTTAGTTAGGTTACTTCAGTTTTTCTATAATATCGCATTACAACGAACAATATGGAACTCTATATCAGCTTTAGAAACTTGAAATCTGTTATAAGTAAAAAAATTGTATAAATTAATTTTCTCTAGAAGAAAGAAAACCGAGTCACTCCTTAAGTTTTATTTTTGGCGAGAAAGACGTTCTCCAGTTCCAACAATATTATGATTGAGACTCATTCTACTCGATTCACATTATAAATATAAATGTAAAACAATTGTGAGATTGTATTTTTATGTTGCTTACAACAATCTCAAGGATGAGACACATTAGACTTCATTTGTGATAGAGTAATGTATTATTTATACCATATGTGGCTAATTGCTATGTCTTTTTTTTTGACATTTCTTTTGGATTTCCAAATGTTTATGCTCCACTTATTTAAGTTTTATTGTTTATTATCAGTTTGATTGTCATTGATTAAAAAGTATAATTTGTGTTTAGTGACGGCTGATTCCATTTCTGGTGAGTCAGACGCGAAATGATTGGAAACCGAGAACACGGCGACCCCATAAAATAACCTTTTGTTTAAGCTTTATAATTGAGTTTTAGTGTAATTCGTTTTCAGTTTTTTATTAGCTTTGTTTTTTTTATTGAGAATTTAAGAATTATAAAAGTTTTTTTGTAGGTAAAATTTGAAGAAATTTTGATTAATAAATTATTTAATGAAATGGCTTTAAATTATTGGATGGAGAAGATGACATAGCAGTTTTAGAATCTACCATTGGTTAATTATTTTTGTTGATGTAGCAGCCCTTAAAAGCCTAAAATCTATCCTTTTTATATAAAAGAGATGATTCTATTAAAATCTTGTGTTATTGGAATATGAAATTTAAACAATTTAACTCATAGAACAAGCTTTTGGTAGACTTTCAAAATATTACATATATAGCTTAGATTCTCAAAGTTATTATAATAATTAAAAAAAAATCATATATTTTCTAGATAAACAAACTCTTTCCAAATTTAATAAATCTTTTTAACAAATTTAACAAATCTCTCAACTCTTAAAATCAATCAAAACTTTATAATTCCATCTCCCAATAACCCCCCCCCCCCCCCCCCTCCTCCTCTTATATGTAATATTTTGAAAATTTTCCAAAATCTTGTTCTATGAGTCTAATTGTTTAAAATTCATATCCCAATAACAAAAAAAATTAATAGCATTATAAAATCTTTAAAAGCCAAACTTTTTGAATAACAAAAGATTTTGGATAAAATTTCAAAATCTATAAACCAATAACAATGGATTACAGTAAGATTTTAACAATCAATAAACTAATAATGATGGATTCTCAAAATTCTCAAAATCTACATAAATCCCTCTCTCAATAACCCTCTTAAGACTAAAAAAACCAAACTTACCGATAATTTTATCCGCTCTAACAGAATAAAAATTACAATCTACAATATAAAATAAACATGTTTCAAACGTGTAATATTTTGGTTATTATTAAACTATCATTGTAATAAAAATATTTATTAACTTATGTTAAAAATTATTAAAATCGTATATAATATAACTTTATTTTTAAATATATAAATTGTAGATAGTTAAAATTAGTAATTTAATTTTTTTTTGGTAATTATCAAATGCAATATAAAATTTGTATCAAGTGTCAATAAGATATGTGACTTTGATTTCATTTTTCCTACTTTACAATTTTTTTTTTGTCATCTGAAATTTTCATTAGAACAGAAAGATACATTTGCGGAATACATTGATGAATACAACTATTGAAAACCTTAAAAAAACTCTAAGAATCCAGATCTAAAACAGTATCAGAACTAGTAAATCCGAAGACTAGTTACAGCAAAACACTTGCAAGTCTTCTAAAACTCTTGAAACCCCAAATTCGATAGTATTGAAGCTTCCTATAGCCAACCAAAAAAACTAAACTTCTTTTTACATTAGTAACAGAACCAGAACAAAGGCTTCATAATCCGGCAAGCAAGAGCTACATCTTGAAAACTCCCGGAAACGGCAAAGTCAGAAGGACAGAACCGCCTTGAAAGAAACCCGAACGAACCAATGCTCAACAGCAGAGGACCCAAGACTAAGAACGAAGTCTAAACCATCCTGTAGTAACCAGACCACGGCAAAAGAACAGAGAAGCACAAATGATGGAAAAGCGAACCACCGATCTTCAATGAAGTAAACAGAACATGCAAGAGAAAAGCCAAAAACCAAACCTGGAACCAGAAAGACAACTGCTAAGAACGGAGAAGAGCCAACAGCAGGAGCCAACAAGGGAAGATCCGAAGATCTAAGGTGAGAATTGAGAGAGAAGAAACGAGATCTGGCCACTCCGCACCGGAGAACCACCAGATCCGCCGCTTCCAAACTCCCATCACCTAGATCTGCTCAAGGAAGAAGCAATGAACCGAAGCCACCACCAGCCCAAGAACCAAATCGAATCAACACTCAGCCCCCCGAAATTAGAAACCCAGCAAAGGAAACAGAAGAAGAAAACAGAAAAGAAACAAATCGGCGTCGACTCTAAAGAAGCAGTCCGACGCCGATCACCTGATACAAATTCAGATGTCGCCGAAGGAGAGAGGCGAGAGAGTTTATTCTAGGGCGAACTCTTTTAATTGCCTTTTAGTGCAAATATATTAGTAGATAGAGACCATAATTTGACAATCATGTAAAAGAGTTTTTATTTATTACTAGGAAACAAACTCACGCGTCAACGCGCAAACATTTAAAATCTTTACTAAAATATATAATTTGTATAAAATAAATTAGAAAATTTTAAAATATTATATGAAAATAATTTTATAGTTGTTATTTTATTGTATATTTTAATTACATTTAATTAATCTGATAATTATAAATTAGAATAATAAAATATAAAACAAGGTTAAATAATTTATTATGAATATAAATCATCAATGACATATTACTATTAAAAATGTATAACTAAAACTATATAAACAATATGTATAATTCATTTTTTATATATTGTATTAAGAACTGATAAATTATCATCAATTATCTTTTTTCTTTCTCTTTATGCTATTTTTGGTATCATTGTCTTTTGTTCCCCATCAGTAAGGTTGTCGTCTTTTTTTGTATCTATGTTTTTGTTTTTAATCACTCTTTTTGTCTTTTCTTGTATTGTTAGAGCAGGATTATTTTTGCAGTTTGAATCTTCAATTTTATTTTTTTCTTCCTTTGGTTGCTTCAGTGCAATATTATCTTCTTTTATATCTTTTTGATGTTGAATACTTTTTGTTATCAAAAATTGATATAATAAATTATTATTAAAATTTATTCTTATATCTAATATTATATTAGTTACATTTGTTATATTTATTATACCTTTTTATATTTATGATATCACCAAAGACATCAATTACTGTTAATTCAGCTGAAGTCGATTTGAAATTAAATGATGTAACTTTCAAATCAAATTTAATTTTTTCCAATAAATTTTTCTGATATAAATGAAATAATTGCTTCACCTGGTGTGTCATTGTACATTTTTTCCTGCAATTTTTATTACAATTTTTAACTCAAATTATTGTATTTATTAAATAATTATTTGAGTATTGATAATACAAATATCATACTTATATAATAAGTAACCAAATCTGTAGCTGATATGTTTAACATCTTTGTTACATCTTTATTGAAAGTTGTCAATAAAGCTGTTTCCGTATCATCTTATTTGTTAGCCTCATGCCATTTTTCATCTCCTTCAAGTAGCCCATGAGCAACACACAATTCTTGAAATATTTTATATTCTTTTCCATTTACAGTTAACATATCTTCAAAACTTGTAGGTCCTTTAGGTGATTAATTAAAATTCTAAGATAATATAGTTCACCAGATGAATGATGAACATTATACAATCTTCCAATTGATTGACCATTTTTTCTTTTTGTCCATGTGTGATCTGATTTATTCCGAACGTACCTTGACAGAAATTGAACATATGATAACTTTCTGTCATCAGGATCTGATTTGTTCATCTCTAAATATGCCATAAACATATTTGGTCTACTTTCATAATTAGTAGCAATACTATTCAAATCACTTGAATTATTAAAAAGCACAAGTTGCTGACCAGGAAGGTGTATGCTTAGTCTCTGGACTGGAGGATGTTGATGATGTATCTCAAATTTAAAAATTTGCCACATCGATTCACAAGCGGATACATATCGACAATCAAGATAATTTTCAATCTCATTTGTATCGTACATCAGAATTAGTTGTATTGTTATTGACATTGTTCTTCAGTACAATTGTAGCTTTATCAACGCATTTTGTAATATACTTGAATAGATATTTAATTGCACTTGTTTTATTGCAAAATTCAACATTAATATGTGCTCGAAAAAGCCTTAATAGCTCTAAATTATGGGGAACAACATATTGATTATCTAACTTGATATCATATTTCATAACATAGCTAGATATTATATCTCTACGGCTAAATATAATGTATTATTTTTCATCAATACATGATGAAAGACAAAATGGCCGGGGATATTTTTTAGTGCAAACACCATTCTCCATACAAGAGTTATTTGATCTATTAAGTCCACATGGTCCATGCATCATATGTTATTCTACTAATTCATAACCTTCAGGATCAATTACTCTATCAGGAAATTCAGCAGTAACATATTTATTAATATCAATTGAGGAAGCAATATCACGTCCACATTTTAACCATATAAGAATATGTGCATGGGGGAGATCACTTTTTTGAAACTCAATTGTATGAACTACTGCAGAAAAAAGAAAAACAATCAGTATATAAATACTTTGATTTTATCTAAATAATTTTAAAACCTAAACATAAATATATGTACCTCCATTTATTGGTCCAAAAAATTTATTTTTTTAATTAAAATCATTAACTCATCTAATTTTAAATGAAAAGCTCGTGATTCAATATCAGGTCTGTCATTGGCCGATGTATCACCAGTAATTTCTAAATATTCATTTATTTTATTCCATTTAGGAATAGCAGTCATGGTAATAAATAAATCAGGATTTCCAAAACAACGACAAAGCGCCATTTCATCTTGATATTTTCTGCCATATATCTTAGATTTTCAGTAATTGATGATGGCATTATAAATTTTTTACCAAGACTATGTGAATCATGATCTCCCTTTGATATGGCGTCTTTTACATTAGTATATACATCAGCTTTTATTGCCTTTTGATTAAGTTTAATAAGTGTCGGATGATGACCTTTGAACATATGGTATTCCTTCAAAATACCCAACTTCTCCATAAGGAACTAATAATGAATATTGCAAAGCCATATAAAGAGGATGAGTTGCCAAGATTCTTTGGAAATTGCTTGATTTATGTTGAAGAAAAACATCTCGTTTGCAAATAGTTTTAGAAAAATCACTGATTATTAAACCTGTTATCTCATTAGCTGATGACAGATTATATTGTCTTTTTCTTGTATCATATCCTATCATATGAATTTTCATTTCACAAATATAACCACTTTCATATCTATCTCTAGCTTTTCTAAAGCCTTTAGATAAAGTGTTATTTTCATCAAGCATATTAATTAAGGATGATAAAAAAAAATTCATAACCCTCTCGATTCATAATTGATAATCGATTTTGTAATTCATTAGATGTATCAAATATATACATCTGCAAGAATTTAAGCTTTTCATCATCAATTGGTAAAAAAGATCCAATACTATGATAATTTTCACCATGTACTTTAAAACAAAATGGACCACCAGAATTTAAGATTGAATAATCTATTTCAACACCCATAGAACGCATAGAGAGCATTGAATTAAAAACTATAATGTTTTTCTTAAAAGTGGGATCATATAAAAGGTTTTTTAGCACAAGAGGAGGCTCTTGTATATTATGTAAATTTACACGATCTTGTTTACAACAAATAATAAATAAAGGCATTTTGTAATACAATTTTTTCCTGTGCTCTCAACAAGCCATAATAAAGCATTACAATATTCACACCTCATTAATTTATTAAGTTCTAATTTTTATAACCTTTTTTTTCTTGCGTACCAAATATTTCATAATATTATTAAAACAAATTTTCATTTTCATTAATTAATTATATAGCAAATATGTAAATACTTTAAATTTTTTTTTTCTTCTGGAAGTTGGCAATACTTAGGAAAATATTTTAAATTAATTATTAATTAGTGACTAAAATTTATTTTAACAAATCATTAGAAAATAGAGCATTGTATCTTTTTCTACCAATTGCTTCAGATCTTTCAACATCCATAGCATATTTACACATTCTGAAATAATAGTAAATTTTATGATATTAAGATTATATACTATATTATTGTAATATTCTATATATATAATAAAAGAAGTGTACATACCTGCATCTTTAATTTTTAATGAACAGCCTAAAATAAAATAAAATAAAATAAAAATAACAATAACAATTTATAATAACAGAACTAAAACTTAGACCCATTAAAATAACAATTAAAATTAATATCTCGTTCGTTATAAAATTCTGGCATCCCAATATTTATATTTTCATTATTTTTGTATTCAATTTTTGGACGCATTATAAAACTATTTGATTTATGTTTTTGAAATACTGACATCTTTTGTTATCTATAAATAATAATAAAAAATGTTTTAAGAAGTTCTATATTTAATAATACTTTTTTCAAAATAAAAAGTTAGTTTAAAGTGAAAAATTACAATGATAAACTTGTTGGTTACTTGAAACTGAATGATGAATTGTAAATTTGGATGATGATTGAACCTTGCACAATGACACTTCCCTTAAAAAAGTATTTTGACTCTTATCAAGCTTTGAGTTAGACAAAAATCCTTGTAGGATAAAACACAGTTCTAATGGTGATATGTGTTTTTCCAGAATTTTTTTATGATCTTTTGAATAGTGAAACTCTCTCTTACTTTCTTTCTAATTTTCTTTGCTTCAATTTGTTTTCTGTTTTTGTTGTGATTGTGGCAATGCCCACAACTCCTTTTATAGGAAACCAAGGGTTGCTTCCAAAGATTACAATGGTTGATTATAGTGCAATGATTGATGATCAACTGGTGCAATGGTTAGTCACCGAATAATGTAACCATACGCCTAACAATTGCAATGGTTAGTAATCGAAATGGTTGCAAATATTTATTTTACGAGTTGCAACAGTTCTTCAATATGTATATGTTAGGGAGACATAATAAATTTAATCTTTACTGTTAAATCTGGAAACAAAAATTGTTAACCATTAGTTTGATTTTTTTTTAGCAACCAAAACGAAAAATCACAATAATTCATAAAGTTGCAATGTTTTAATTATGTGCATGTATATCTATATTTTTTTAACATTTAGAAAATGATGTTAGCAATCAAATCTTAGCCATTAAATTTTCAAATCAAAACTAATCAAAACAATGTCAACCGTTAGATTTATCATTTTTCTTTAAAAAAAAATGATGACATCAGCAGTTCAAAAAAAATATTTTACTATTATATAGAGATTATAATTAATCAGTTGAGCAACACAAATATTGTAAAGATCAAGACTTTTCTCCGTGGTTTATTGAAATGAAAGTACGTACATTTATATATTGTGGGTAGTACTCTAGGTAAGCAATTCTTTTGTCAAAAGGATGATTATCCAATTAAGTAAACTTACTTTAATTGTTTTTTTAAACAGAAAACTAATTATTTTATGTTTGTTTAATTCTTTAATTAAAAAAGGCTATTTTCTAATGAAAATTGTTTGGACACCCGACAACTTTGGACCGGGTTGAGTAAAAACCAGTTTCGAGAGGCCCGGCTTTATGAGATATTGAGAGGGGCCAACCCTAGAAGAGTCTATGCCCAACTTTAAAAACAAATATTTCCCAGAAAAACAAGCCCATCCAGAATAAAAACGAAAAAATGGATATAGAACAAAAAGTGACATAAAACCCCAAATTTGTGTCTGCGTATCTTATCACTATCTTGTCACTATCTTATCATTATTCAATATCTGATGTTGATGGCTGCTGCACCAACCACGTGACTCTCTCAAAATGGTTGCTCACAACCATTTTTTAACGTGGACCGACGAGTGAATTAGCAAAATTCTCCAAATGGTTGCTTCACACACAAACCCCTCTTTTGGTAATAGACTCAATCTTTATAAAGATTATTTGTTTCCCGTAAAGGACTCATCAATCTTTAGAAAGTAAAAGAGAATGAGTTTGACACTAAAGCCTCTGCTTCTGCTTCTACTTCTACTTGTCTTGAGTCATCATGCTTGCTCTGTAGGCTCTATAGTCAAGTTTCTTCCTGGTTTTGAAGGCCCTCTTCCTTTCGAACTCGAAACCGGGTTTGTGAAATGTCTCTTCTTCTTTACCATTATGTGTAGTAAGTTTGAAGTTAGTAACTAATTAGCTGCTTCTTATGAGTGAAGGTACATTGAACTTGGTGAGGAAGAGGAAGTGCAGTTGTTCTACTACTTCATCAAATCTGAGAAGAATCCAAAAGAAGACCCTCTTCTCATTTGGTTAATAGGAGGACCTGGATGCTCTTCTCTCGCTGGCCTTTTCTTTGAGAACGGTAAATTCTATAAAATTTCTTCTATCGCTAAGTATCATTTTAATAAAGTTGTAAAAAAACAATAAATAGGACCTGTGACTTTGAAGTTTGGGGTTTACAATGGAAGTGTTCCTTCTTTGGTATCTACTACATATTCATGGACAAAGGTAGCATAAAGTATGTTCATACTGAAACACAAACCCAATAATATGTTCTTGATCTTCTAAAGAAATTTGGTTGTTTTCTCAGACGGCAAACATAATATTCTTGGATCAGCCTGTTGGAGCTGGCTTCTCATACTCAAAAACTCCACTTGGTAAAACTAGTGACACAAGTGAAGTTTAGATGATCCATGAGTTTCTTCAAAAGGTAATTATAAACAAACTTAATTGTCATTTTTAAAGCATTCTAGCTCGTCTTTGTGCCTTAAAGCTCTTGTGTATGTTGTAATTCTCGTGGTGTAAAGTTACTGATCGGTTAGCTCATCAATTGAAACACAATCATGTGCTTTTGTTTTGTTTTGTGCAGTGGCTAAGTGAGCATCCACAGTTTTTCCCTAACCCTTTTTACGTCGCCGGAGATTCTTATTCCGGTATGATTGTTCCGGCAGTCGTTCAAGAAATCTCAAAAGGTATGTTGTTTTATCAGATCAGTCATATTCCCCCATACACTTTGCTTTAAATTTTGTCTAACCGATATTCTCTTACTTGTTAACAATATAAACACTATGATGCAGGAAATTACATATGTTGCAAACCTCTTATAAATCTACAGGTTATTAACATCTAAGTGATTAATTATTATATTATTTATATTTCATGAATATAAAGATTCACAGTCTATATGTTTTTGTACAAAAAACAGGGGTATGTGCTCGGAAACCCAATAACATATGCTGCATTTGAAAAAAACTATCGTATTCCATTTGCTCATGGAATGTCATTAATCTCTGATGAACTCTACGAGGTATGGAATATATATGCAATGCTTAATTTGTTATTTTGTCACTTGAGAGTTTTTATCTTTAATATCTTATAGTTACATCATTTACGAAGCCTAACAATGTGTAAATCTTTACATTTTACAGTCAATGAGGAGAAACTGCAAAGGAAATTATGGAAATGTTGATCCACGTAACACAAAGTGTTTGAAAGTTGTTGAAGAATACCATAAGGTACACACTCTGAATTTGGTTAATGTTTTAATTTTTTTTATGGGTATGTGATATATATATATATATATAACTAAATTTTTGGTATGTGATATATTCACTAATTCAGTTTTTGTTTTTGTTTATTTACAGTGCACTGACAAAATAAATTCACAACATATATTAATACCAGATTGTGATGACAAAATTCATACAAATCATACATCTCCTGATTGCTATGTAAGTAATATATCTTTCCTCCATCTTGTGAATATGGTTGGGAAAAACATCTGATTTTATCTGTTTTGCTCTTTTCGATCAAAAATGTTTGTGAATAAAACTGATAAAGAATTTTAAATACTACAATTAAAGATCTGCCTAGAACAGAGTAACAAAGAATGATGATACATGTATATATGCTTAAATAAACATATCTAAAATGTTTATGTAAAAAATATGGGTGATAAATAGTTCACTAACACAAACAAAGTCATTTTTTATAATATTTCGAAGAAACATAATATACGCAAGGTTGGTTTTGCAGTATTATCTGTATTATCTCATTGAATGCTGGGCCAACAACGAGAGAGTTCGTGAAGCTCTTCATGTTAAAAGGGTATAGCTAAGATTGGTTTAAAGATCATTGACGAAGGGTGATGATACAAGAAAGGACATTGGCAGCGATATAACTGGACTATTCCATACGATCATGACATTAAAAGCAGCGTACCATATCATATGAGAAACAGCATCAGTGGATACCGATCTCTTGTTTATAGGTTTGAATGAACATTATTTATTTTTGTAAGCGGAAGCTTTTAGAAATTTACTGAGTTCTCATAATACTTAAAAACTAGGATTTAGAAATTACATTTTCAGTGTTTTCATAAGCTGTTTTATTAACTAATCAAAAACAAACAACTTAATATAAAAACACCAAGTAAAAGATTGAGATTATAAAATTTGTGTGGTTTATGGTGAACAGTGGTGATCATGACATCACGATGCCTTTCCAAGCAACTCAGGCATGGATTAAATCTCTAAATTACCCCATCATTGATGACTGGAGGCCTTGGATGATAAAAGATCAAATTGCTGGGTAAATTATTTTCTCTTTTTCATTCATTTTCTCATCTTATATCAAACTCACTAATAAATCATTCTTGCATACCTTTTTTTTAACAGACACACAATAACTTATTCCAATAAGATGACATTTGCTACTGTCAAAGCAAGTCTTCTTGTCTCAACTTAATATTTTTACTATCAATACTGCATTACAATAAAATAGTTTATTAATCTTTTTAAGCGTTTTGATTCTAGGGAGGTGGACACACGGCAGAGTATAAACCAAACGAGACCTTTATCATGTTTCAAAGGTGGATCAGTGGCCATCCTTTGTAATAGAGGCTCATGGCCATAATTACTTATTAAGGATAATCATATGAATCAAGATACTCCATCCCTATAATTATTCCCTATGATTAGTCTATATGATTACTCTCATTCATAAATCATAATATAGAATCGTAAGATTCTCTTATAATCTTATTACTCTTGTAAAACTTGTATTTAAAGATCTCTTGTGGTCTATGCTCAATATTACGAATGATATAGGTACTATATATCGTAGAATATTCACGCTAGGCGCAGGTTTTGTGATTTGGAATTATAAATACTTTTGATTTTTGTTATGTTGCATTTTTCAGTGATTTATGTACTCCATATAATTATTATGGTCATCATAACCTATATTTAAATTACTGGTGGTCACAATTTTCTCATCAACCCATAAAACATTGATATATATGTGCAATCAGATTTAGGAGGTGTTATTGGTTCTTGTATTTTAATAGATTTGAGAATTCAAACCAAATTCAGTGTTATTGGTTCTTGTATTTTAAAATTTATATTGAAATACAGTGTTATTGGTTCTATGATTTTAAAATTCATAATGAAATACAGTGTTATTGGTTCTATCATTTTAGAATCTAAATATTATAAGGATTTGAGTTTTAATTGAATTTGAATGGATTTGGAAGGATTTTCATGACTAAAATACAAAGACCTAAATACAAGGTCTAACATTGGTATTTGAGTGGATTTGATTTTTTTCTATTTTGTTGATTTTGAAATTAATAAATTTATCAAATCCAAAGAAGATTTATAAATCCACCAAAATACAAGAACCAATAACCCCTACTTAGTATTAATATATATTTTTTTTTGTTAAAAGGCTTCCATTAAAAATAAAAGTCAAGAGTTACAAAAGAGTTACAAGGAATCAAACCAGAAACGGGGGAGGGGACCTAGAATGCCACCGGAAGGAAGCGCCCTGGACAGTAGGAGAAGGAAAATGTCATCTTGAAGACCAGAAAACCAACAAAGCTTCACCATGCTTTGTGGCCAAAATTTTCAGAGCTGTTGCTTTCTGAAAAATAATAGAGGAGATTTTCCGAAGAATGATGTGAGGTGGGAGAGAAAGTCCGTTGTGAAATCTGTTATTCCGTTCTTTCCAAACTTCATACAGAGCTGCTTGCCACAAAATGAGGAGAGTGTAAGAAGTGACTGCGTCCGAAGAAGCATTTGGGAGCCAATCAATAACGTCATTCCAGCGATGTGGATAATTTGAGAGACCCATCTTGGACATAAGATCAACCCAGATTTGGAGAGAGTACGAACATTCAAAGAATATGTGGTCTCTTGATTCGTTTGCAGTCCCGCAGAGAAGACAAATTTGCTCTACGTCTAGACCCCAAGAGAAGAGCCGGTCCATAGTGGGATTACGATCAAGTGTAAAGAACCACGCATTCAGAGAATGTTTCGGGATGGCATACTTATGCCAAATAATGGGAGCCCACGGAACAGGGGGCTTTGAAGCGCGAATTGCGTTCCATATCTGTTTGGAGTAAAACGTTTTTAGCACCTTTTCACCAATCGTCCATTGTGCAACGTCACAAACCTGCGAGGGCTCAATGGAGATTATGTAGCAGAGAACTTGTAAGAAAGCCTCTGAGCGGGCTGGCGGGAGATTCCAACCACCATTCAGCATAACATCTTTCACTAGAGAGGATAAGGGAATTCCTAGCTTAGCTGGTGCATCCTTACCCAGAAAATCAAGGAGAGGACCAAACGGGGTCCAGGGATCCCACCAGAAAAAAGTGTCATCTCCATTTCCAACTTTGATACGAAGAAACCTAGCAGCAGTGGGTCTCAACTTGAGAATTTTCCTGAAGGACCAGGAGATAGACTGGCTGTTAACATTTAAGGCCCAGAAAGTGGAACGAGAGAGATATTTCCTCCTTACCCAAGCCACCCAGATAGAACCTGCCCTGAAATATAACATCCAAATAAGCTTTAGACCACACGTTACATTCCAAGAGTACCAGGATCTCAGACCCAAGCCACCTTCACATTTAGGGTATACTTTCCCATGAGACTTTAGCACCAGATGGATTTTCAAGACGCCCATGCCAAAGAAAAGAGCTAGCGAGGCTGTTTATTTTCTTTAAGACTTTCTTAAGGAGAAAGAAGGCTTGTGTCCAGAAGCCTACGATTCCGGTTATTACCGTTGAAACTAGACGAAGCCTTCCAGCGATACTAAGGTGACGATGCTGCCATGAATTTAGTTTCATTCTGATTCTAGAGAGGAGGGGATCGCAGTCTTTTACAGATAACCTTTTTGAGCATAACGGAAACCCCAAATACCGAATCGGAAGGTTGGCCAGAGAAAAGAGAAACTTTCTCTTGCTACGCTCAAGTACATCGGCAGGCACGCCAGAACAAAACAATGAAGTCTTTGAGATGTTTACAGCAAGACCCGAGATTTTTTCAAACTGCGATAAAACCGTGAAAACTCCAGCAAGAGAATCTTCCGTTCCATCCAAAAAAATGAGGAGATCATCGGCAAAAGATAAGTGTGTTAGCTCTGAAGAGTCACACCCAGGGTGGTACTTGAAAATCCCATCTTTTACAGCTTTGTTGAGCATCAAAGAGAGCACGTTCGTGATCAGCACAAAGAGGATTAGGGATAGGGGATCACCTTGACGGAGACCCGATCTCCCTTTGAAGTATCCCGATGTCACTCCGTTTATGCTGATGGAGAAAGAGAGAGTAGATATACAAGCCCTAATCCACTGCACAACAGTTTCTGGCACATGATAAGCACGGAGCGCAGCGAGAACAAAATCCCACCTCACTGAGTCGAACGCCTTTGAGATATCCACCTTGAGAGTAATTCTCGGAGAGTTTGAATCGAGATGATAGCCCCGTAACACCTCCGCGGCCAACAGAACGTTCTCCAGCAGGAGTCTATCTTTGATGAATGCCGTCTGGTTGGGAACAACTACTGAAAGGAGGCTTCTCTTCAAACGGTCAGATATAATCCGAGTGATTAGTTTGTATATCGTATTCAAGCAAGAGATGGGCCTGAAATCTTTAAGCTCCTATGCTCCTCTTCTCTTTGGGATTAGGACCAATGAAGTTGCATTGAGACAGGAGGGAAGAAACGACGAGGAGAAGAATCTCTGCACCGAGGCAGTGACTTCAGGCCCTAGAAACTCCCAACAAGCTCTGTAGAATTCTGCAGGGAACCCGTCAGGACCCGGAGTCTTGTTTAACGGCAGGCGGTGGAGAGAAGATTTAATCTCTTCGCTTAAAACTGGGGCCAATAAGACTGCATGTTGAGCCAGTGGAATATGTGAGGTGAGGAGCCTATCCAGATATACATGAAGGTATGGGGACCAATCACCCTTGATCGTTGTCAAAATGCCGGAGAAATAGGCTTCAGCAAGGTGATGAACCTCTTCTAGGGAAGTTGACCTGGACCCATCTGGTCTTAAGACATATTTAATAGCATTTGAAGCGTTTCTCACCTTGGTGACAGTGTAGAAAAACCTCATATCCTGGTCACCTTCCTCATGCCATTTAATGCGAGATTTCTGACGGAAAAAACTTTCCTCAGCACAGCGAAGAGACACCCATGACACCCTTGCCTGCCTTTCAAGCTCAAGATTTATAGCTGAGAGGTCGTTAAGAGAAGAAACCTGAAGATCACGGAGAAGGAGCGATGCTTCCAACACTCGCTTTTTGATATCACTATAGTTCTCCTTTAGCATACTTTTAAGGGGCCTTTTGAGCTGTTTAATCTTGTAACTGAGATCAGAGAGGTTTGAGGCAGCCACACCCAAATTGTCCCAAATACCCTTAATAGTAGGAACAAAAGACGGATGCTTCAGCAAGAGATTGAAGAACTTGAACGGCCGAGTGCCAAAAGACGGTGGAGGGGATACAAGCCTTATAAAGCAAGGGGTGTGGTCTGAAAACTCTGACGGCTCAAAAGAACAATGGCTCGAAGGGAGAGAGAGAATCCATTGTTCATTAACCAGACAACAATCTAATTTCTTGGCCAGGGGGTCAGAAGGACGGTGATTTGACCAAGTGAATCTGGGTCCTTGAGAGGGCAAATCAAATAAACCGGAAGCAGCTAAGGAATCACAGAACTCTCTCATCGCCGAGGTGGAAGAGGTAAAAAGGGGATTTGAGGATTCTTCGGGAGAAATAATTTCATTGAAATCCCCGTACACCATCCACGGACGTGATGACAAATCAAAGGAGACACAAGTATCCTACAAAGACAACCAAAGAAGCTTCCGTTCCTCAGGATCGTTAGAAGCATAGACTGCCGTAAGAACAAAAGAAAGGCTTATTACAATATGTTAACAAGAACTTGAAAATAACTACTTTTCATGTCTTATTCGCCTCAATGCCAAATACTACATCGCTTTTCCTGGTCTATGTTCATTTTCTCCTCTTTTATTTAATTTTACGAATAACTCAATCTTGTGGACCAATGAATACTTATATGCTTCCTACCTGTAAACATAATTTAATTGCTTCTCCTTTTACATATGAAGAATTGAATTATTGAACACTAGTTATGACTATTTAATTCGATACACCCAACCCTAAATCTCGGGTTTATAAGTTATCTAACTAAAAAATTAATCACATAGGAGTATTAAGAAATGGACAACGTGTTATACAATAAATGCAGACTCCAAGGCCTCTTAATTTCTAAATTATTTTTGGTTGGTCTAATTTTTTCCTTTTCGCTGTCTATTTTCAAACAAAAGAAAATCTAAATGATGCGTTGTACCGATTTGTAAATGAGTTGTCGGAACAGAAAAACCACTATGTGACATTCGTTTATCTCAGATATAATAGATGTGTATCTTTAAGACTTGAATACAATATATGAATATAAATATATAGTATATATAAATTATCGCTCTTCTTTGTTATTAATAATTATAATTTATAGTTTTGTAAATTAAATTTATCGATTTATGTATGTCCAAACATAAAGTATATACAGTAAAATCTTTATAAATTAATAATGTTGAGATTTTAAAGTTTTATAAAAATTTATTAATTTATAATGATTATTAATTTATAGATATATTATTTGGTTGAAAATTTAATTTTGGAACTAACAAAAAATATTTATTTATTGAAATATTAATGAATCGAATATTAATTTATAGAAATTTTATTGTATAAATACTTTTATAAAGATATGAAGTTTCTATTTAATTAATCAATAATTTTATATTAAAAGATATAAAGTTCGATTTTCAGAAATCGTAAATTGTTGTTTTAGATTAGTGAGAGTAAAATTTTCAGTAGCATAGTAAAAATAATATCGTTTGTTACAATTCTATTCATTATGAACTTTTGTCTTGCAAGTAAAACTATCTATTACTATAAAATTATCGTTTTATCTCTAAATATTGCTGAATATTATATTTGTAACAAAATTAAAAAACGAAATCAATACAAATATGAATGATAATGTAACAATAGAAAAGAAAAAGAATTGATTTCGATTCTATTTCTACACCGTAAAATTAAGGGTTGGCTGCTATCAGCTCCCTAAACTATACATTATCTACTTAAAACCCCTTAAACTATTGACTTCTGCATATTCCCACACAAACAATTGTTTTTCTGCCTATTTCCCCAAATTCAATTAGAAATTAAAATCGCGATCAATTTATGAAATCGTGTTTTGGTTAGATTGCGTTTTGGGGGGAAATATACAGAAAACAAATTATTTGGGTGAGAATATACGGAAGTGTAGTCTAGGGAGAATATACAGAATTTATTAAGTTCAGGGGCTGAGCGCAGTCAATTTAATTTTTAAGGTTTTCAAAATATTTAACATATTATTAGCTTAATTATATTCATAATATATATTTGTGTAATAAAATAAATGTATATTTTTATTAAAAGTGGTAACAATATGATAGCACAATTAAAAAACAAAACTAACATTAATTATTATACATACATAAACATATTATTCTATTGTTTTAAATATTTTGATTTGATATACTAATAGAGAAAAGCTATTTTTTGGGATATACTCGATATCATAGAACTTAAGTTGAGTATATCCCAAAAAATAGTTTTTCTCAAGTATATCCCAAAAAATATATCGAGTATATCTCAAAAAATAGTTTTTCTCTATTAGTATTTCAAATCAAAATATTTAAAATAATAGAATAATATGTTTATGTATATATAATAACTAACGTTAGTTTTGTTTTTTAATTGTGCTGTCATATTGCTACTATTTTTAATAAAAATATTCATTTATTTTATTACATAAATATATATTATGGATATAATTAAGTTAATAATGTGTTAAATATTTTGAAAAATCTAAAAATTAAATTGACTGCGCTCAGCCCCCTGAGCTTAATAAATTCTGCATATTCTCCCCTATACTACACTTCCGTATATTCCCATTCAAACAATTTATTTTCTGCATATTTCCCTCTAAAACGCAATCTAACCAAAACGTGATTTTATAAATTGATCGTAAATTTAATTTCTAATTGAATTTGGAAGAATAGGCAGAAAAATAATTGTTTGGATAGAAATATACAAAGATCAGTAATTTGGGAGTTTTAAGCAGACAATATATAGTTTAGGGGTCTCACGGCAGCCAATCCTAAAATTAAATGTGAGATGTAAAGCCTTTGAGGCTTTGACCAAACCCAAACCTATAGCCTCCAACACAAAAGCTCCGTAGGTCTAACCCCTAAGACCCTATCAAATCTCACGTGTCATGTGGACACTGTCTGTGGGTCCCATGTGGCCACGACAACCAATGAACTTAAACGTGATCTACTTTACTTATCATGCTTTTTTTAAGCTCAACGTCTTTTTTTGTATAATTGGATATATTTATCAGCCTAGTTATATGGTTTCTGAACTTTTGATTGCTATCAGCCTAATTATATGAATTTTGTAGTTTTTGGTTTTGTTTTTTTTATTTAGCTTGAAGATTATTTTGAAAATTCAAAGTTTGAAACTAAACTAATATCCTAAAACCATAAAAGTAAAAAATATAAGCATCTTCATTAATGATATACTATCATCTATATAATCTTATTTCTAATGTATTTTTTGTAAAAAAACTTCATCATAAATTTATAGGTCATGATTATTATTTGTATCATGCTAATTCGTAAAATGAATAATATTTAAAACCGAAGGAAAAATGAATAACAAAAACAAACGAGTTATGGAGACGTGAGGGAGTGGATACATGCATGTAACTACACGTTCGTGTCTGGATTGTGTCCCTTGTTTAAGAGATTCAATAAATACACTTCATAAATAACTAAATAACTAATGGCTAATAGGCAATAGCGATAGCTCTCTCAAGGGAAATTAATTCTATTCGGCCACCATCATCGATTTAGCTAAAATACATAAATATATAAATGACCACTTACTTCGTAAATCATTTTGTCATCGTTAACATAAAAAACATATTTAAAAGACCAATGGTGTCTACTGAAGTAGCTAGCATCAACACCAATACGATTTATTATTGTTATTGTATATATAACCCGGAGAATATTCTGATAATTTACACGTTCAAGCTTAATATTTTAGTTTAATCAGAAAAAAGATAAACAGTATCGTTTCGTGTTTAATTAACAATGTTTTCATGTTTTGATCAGTGATTTGTTCTATTGAGTTCAGATATCATCATTTAAAATTGAAAACAGCTAAAACTTTTTTTCTGTCTAAAAGAACTAAGGAATTGGTTTTACATTTAACCAAATGGTTATATGTCCATTTCTATATATATATATATATGTGGTTTATATATAAAAGAATAGTATATATGATTATATATAAAAGAATAGTATATATGGTTTAAATGGTTGACGGATCAGAATTTGTCAAACCAAGATGTAAAAAACAAAAATTAAGATTTTAAACTTCTAGACTTGTAGTCTTTTAAAAGACGTGGCTAATTAATGCATTCTTAGTTTTTTTTTACAACTAATTCACTACTTAGTTAAATACTACGTAATTTAAGTTTGTGATAGTAAATGTATTATAAATAATGTCTCTATCGCATGCGCACCACTTGTAAATTTGTCTCCTTTTTAGACATTTAAGTCTCTTAGCAAACATGGATGTTCTTTGTTGAATTGCAAGTAGTTCTAACACATTCTCTCTCGTATTAAGTTCTACTAGATGCGTTGGATGCGTAATAGATCATTAAAATAACCAACTGTTCTTCTTATAGATACGAGACTAGACTATACAATTGGATTTAACAATTAATTTTTGTTAACAAATAAGTATTTTTATATGTATTTGAGTTTTTTTGTAAAACCAAAACAACTGAACCTTAGGTTCATAATCTTTTTGGAAACGGAGATTAGAGCGTGTTAATTCATCTACTTTCCATCGTATTTCTATGAGATAACGAACATGTACCGAACACAACCATTTTCACCAAACTCAATGTAGTTAGTTAAAATATCGGGTCGAGTAATTTGAGATGAAAATATATGATTTTTATACTCCGTCTTGTAATTTAACTATCGCGCCTTAATAACATATCAAAATACTAGCATTGTAATATATTATAAATCACATATTCCTCGACATTTTCACTAGCGAATCTGTACTAATGTTACATAACTTAATTTTCAAAAACCAAAAAACAAACAATTGTTCTATAACCCAAGACATAAAATGAAGAAGAACATAATGGGCCATGGTAACTAAAATCCTGGGGTACACCGTCGAAGAATAAGAGACGGTCCAAAATATAATTGTAACCACGTGAATCTGATAGATATTTGATACTCCACTGAATATCAATCTATATTTATTTCAATAGGACAAAACTCTAACCTTTTTCATACTAAAATCTCACTTCAAGTATACCCTTTCTTTCTTTTGCAACGTTTGGTAAAAAAATTGCTTAAAACTATAGTATAACAAATTTTAGAGATACCTGCTCCCCCTCGATACTATAGTATAAAAAATTTAATGTGTTTGTGTCGATAGTTTTAGCTACATTACAAAAATATTGCAACTTTCATAGTTTTTTGTGTGTGCTAAATGCGAGTTTCATAGGTCTATGTTCGTTTTGGTTTTAAATACTTTTTTATTTTGATACGAAAAAAAAATTGGTAATCTTTTTCCGGTTTGCTTTTTCCTTTCCATTACATGGTTTTAGTAGATTAAATACAAATGGATGAATCTTAAACCAATAGTATTTGCTTTTTTGTTAAAAAGTACCAATACCAAACCGTTATAGTATTTACAATTTGAGGTTGCTATATGCGTACTTTAAGTTTTTTTTTTAACAAAACTTGCGTCATCTTGTTGATTAAATAACAATAACACAGATGTTTTTACAAAAAGCAAAAAGCAAATGAAAATTCCTTTCTTAGGGTTTGAAGTTGAAATAGAGTCGTAGAGACATGCCTCACGTGGTGTCCACATGTCTTTTATCGTAAGAAAGTTCATATTGCTTCCACTATAGTTATTTTCCTTAATATCACCACCAAAGTAACCAAATATATTAAACTATAGAAGTATATAAAATAAAATAGTTGGAAAAATAAATATAAATCTTGTAGTAATCAAGTTTTTCTCATTTTCCTAGTTCTTTATTGAAATCATACGTAAGATTTTTTTAATTAAAAATATGAATAAATAAATATGTTGTAACATGTCCGAGATCTTGATTGTGTTTCCGGTACCATTCTTTGTCTCCACCCAAAGCTATATGATATCTCTCACTCCCACAATTATTACCATTATTATTTTGTTTTATTAAAAAAATATGCTTTCGTCAAAAAGCAAAATAAAATAAAAATTGAAAATAATATCTACAGTATAAAGAAAATAAAAACTTGGCCTCGTTCTTCTCCCTCTGTCTCTCTCTCTCTCTCACTCTGAGCTCAAGCGATTACCTCCCATGGGAAAAATCTCTGAAGTGATTATCTAGCTCTTTTTGTCGTTTCTGCATCCATTTTTATGGATCTTGGAGTTCGGATTCAAGGGTTGGTCTCGGGTCATGAAAACGGGTCTCCGGGTCAATCAGAGCTTGGATCTGGTTTCAGCAACAAGCAAGAGAGATCCGGTTTCGACGGTGAAGATTGCTGGAGGAGCTCTAAGCTTTCAAGAACATCAACAGATGGATTCTCTTCCTCATCCGCTGCAGCTAAAACTCTGTCGTTTCATCAAGGGATACCTCTCTTGAGATCTACCTCTATCGATCCTCGCAGACAAGAGCATATGCTTAGCTTCTCATCTGCTTCAGACAAACCAGATGTCTCGCCTTATCTTCAGTACTGTAGAAACTCAGGTCTGCTGAATAAAAGTACTCTGTTTTTTCTTTTTACTTAAGTTACTTACTTTTCATATTTTGCTAAAGATTGATTTAGTGAAATACTCTGTTTTTTTTTTTTGGTTACCTTTTTTCAGTCTTCAGATATTTACTTTCCTCAAAATCAGCAAATGGGTATTGCTAAGAGATGTATTTAGTGAAATGGGTTATTGTCAAATTTTAAAATCACTATATGGGTTTTGCTTAGAGCTTGTTTTTGGTGGAAATGGGTTTATATCAAAAATTTATAACTTTTGGGGTTTGTGTTTGTGTCAGGATATGGTTTAGGAGGAATGATGAACACAAGCAGCATGCATGGAAACTTGTTGACAGGAGGTAAAGGACCTTTCTCATTGACTCAATGGGCAGAGCTAGAGCAACAGGCGTTGATCTACAAATACATCACAGCCAATGTCCCTGTGCCATCTAGTTTACTCCTCTCTCTCAAGAAATCCTTTTTCCCTTATGGATCCTTGCCTCCTAATTCCTGTAAGCTCCCTCCTCCTTATCTTTTTTTTTATTTTCTCCATGTGCAAATAGAACCATTTTAGGCATATTGATTCCTTTTTACTGCCAAGAATCAACCTTTGTGCTTTAAAACATTAATCTTATATGGATTGTTGTTGATGGGTTTTACTAAAGATTCCTACTTTTTGGGGGAATGTTGTTTGCTCAATGGTTGGTTCTGAGAGATTATCTTTTTTGTGTGTTTATGTAGTTGGATGGGGCTCTTTTCATCTGGGCTTTTCCGGCGGCAACATGGATCCCGAGCCCGGGAGATGTCGCCGGACAGATGGAAAGAAATGGCGGTGCTCTCGTGATGCTGTTCCCGATCAAAAGTACTGTGAACGACACATTAACCGAGGCCGCCATCGTTCAAGAAAGCCTGTGGAAGGCCAAAATGGCCACAATACTAATGCCGCCGCCGCTTCTGCTGCTGCTTCTACCGTTGCTGCGGCCAAGGCAGCGGCGGCAGCTGCGGTTAATAGCAACAGCCTCGCCGCTATTGGAACTCATCATCATCATGCCAATCCTTCTTCTACAGATTCTTTGGCTAACAGGTAAAAATAAAAATAAAAAACTTATTTCCTTTTTGATATAAACATATTTGTATATTCCTAAGTTTTAATGTACATACCTTTTTCACATTTCTTCTTTGGCGTATGAGTAAGTAGTAGACCCACACATTATTACCACATCTTTTGTGATAGTGACAACTCCTTATTAATTGAGAGGCTTAGGATTCCATGTTACTGTATTTGCTTTTATAAACTATTTTCTTGATTCAATAATGCTTTATATCAATTAAACTTTTTTTTCTTGCAATGACACAGAGTTCAGAGTTCTCGAGTGGGTTCTGTTTTTCCCGCCACGATGAACATACAACCGAAGGAATCTCATCAGAAACAGAGCAACAACCCTTTCGAATTCGGACTCATCTCCTCTGACTCGTTACTCAACCCGTCGTCGCAGCATAAACAGCCCTCTTACGCGAACTCATCGAAAGGCTTTGGATCGTATCTCGACTTCAGCAACCAAGCAAAGCACTCGGGGAATCACCACAATGTCGATTCTTGGACCGAAGAGCTGAAATCGGACTGGACTCAGCTCTCAATGTCAATCCCCATGGCTCATCCATCTTCCCCTGTTCAAGATAAACTTGCTCTCTCTCCTCTAAGGCTGTCCCGTGAGTTCGACCCTGCGATACACATGGGATTAGGCGTCAACACCGAGTTTCTCGAGCCGGCGAAGAAGACGAATAACTGGATTCCTATCTCTTGGGGGAATCATAACTCCATGGGAGGTCCTCTTGGAGAGGTACTAAACAGCACGACGAATAGTCCCAAGTTTGGATCTTCTCCAACGGGTGTCTTGCAAAAATCGACATTTGGTTCTCTTTCTAACAGCAGCTCAGGAAGCAGCACGGTTCTTGGTGATAACAACATCAAGAACGGCGATGGAAAAGACCCGCTTGGACCAACAACACTGATGAACTCCTCTGTTTCTGCTCCATCTCTGTGAAACTGAAAAGGAAAAAAAATAACACAAAACACTCTGTTTTCTCTGTTTTACTTGGTGGTGCATTGTTGTTGTATTTCTATATAAAGCCAGAAGAAACTAAAGGAGAGATGGATTTTTTTGTTTTCTTTTATCTTCTTTAAAGACCTGTTTCTTCTCCTTCTTTCTGATTTCTGAATCCATGGATTTTATTGGTTCTTAAACATCAAATTCTTGATTTTTATTGTATTAGCTCTTAACAAAATTTTGAACCTTAATAATTAAATTGATCTAAACTTAGAAGATGATGAATTTGTTCTACAATGTGAAACTTGTGATCCTTTTTAAAGATTTGAAGAGGTTTCCTAGTTGCAGACAAGAGGCAAGATTGTTTTGTGAATTGGACATGGAAACAACTGTCTCCCACTTTTAGTTTTGCTCTGTTTCTCCACTTTTGGGTCCCTTAAAAACTACTTTGTGCCTTTCTCTCTCTAACCCTACTTTACTTATTCCTGTTTTCTTCTGTCTTAGAAAAAAAATTATTTCTGAAAATTTATAAAGAGTGGAGGACCAACCTCTTAAATTTATGGATGGTCCATAACGTTTTTATTTGTATATTTTTGGAGATATTATTCCAACACGTGGCGTGTGTGGGATGATCCAGACACTTCCCACTTGCACGAGACAAGACAATTCTTGCCGAATAAATATCTCACTCGATACTTTTAGAAATTAAATATTTCAGTTTCAGTAATTTCTAAGTTCTGTAAGTATACACATTCTTGGAAAGTAGGTTAATTATGATTTGGAGGAAAATAATTGTAGTTAGCGAAATAATTAGGTACGAATCATTAGCCCACTTAAAATTCTATAATGGGCCTAAGGAGGCCCAAATACGCAACAACAGAGTCCATTGAAGTAGTAATAGTAACCACTCTTTTTCATTTACACATAGAGAGATCAAACGAAAGACAGAAATAAATTGTACTTCGCTTTGATCTTGATTTTTTTTTTCTCTCCTAATTTTTTGATTTTCTCTATTTTTTTTTCAAATCACTTGATGATCGCATCCCCATTGTTGCTGATTCTGAAGTTGTCTGAGAACTGAGATTTGTCTCAACTCCGAGAATCTTCGTCTGAGAATCTCTTGTTCTGACAAAAGCCGATTGTTGTCCGTACTTGTGTGTTCGATGTGGTACATAACGATTCGGAGCCGGTTTGTGAGTTCGCGGTTTTCTAAACCGAGCCGGTTTACTTCGTCTCTTAAATTCTCAATGTGTCTCTGTTTACGCATCCTTGACCGCTTCGCTGATTCTCGGTTTGATTCCATCCGCTTCCTCTTACGATCGTCGACTATCTGCAAAACCGGCACGTTCGATTTATTCCGGTTATGGTCCGTAGCTTTTATCGGGATTCTCGTGTTTCCCGAATCCAATTCGTGGGATTGTGGACTTGGCACGCCTTGAAAACATTCGGAATCGTCGGAACCGGAGTCTGTTTTGATGGAACCGATACAAGATTCGTCAAAACCGGATTTTAGGTCTTGAAATCCGGTTTTAATTCTGACAGAACCGGTTTCAGATTCATCAGAACATGGACTCTGTGTGACCGGTTGGATCACAGAGAAGAGATCAGAGCAGTCAAAATTCCAAGGAGTGAATCCGGTTTGGAAATTAGATAATTGGTTAACCAAACCCGGTTCAGTAAAGGAAAAGGCCGGTACAGTAGACATCATAATGACCGGAATTTTTTGGCTAATAAGAGAGAGAATAGAAGGAGAAAAGGGAAGAATTGCATTGAAGGAGCTTCGAATTTATGGGAAAATGATAAGGGTATTTTGGTCATTATGACTCGTATTTTATACTGTATAAACAAACTTTTGAGTCATGTGGCACTATGTGGGGTCAGTATTTTTCGGAACCAACTTTTTATAAAAGTAGACAAATATATTGTGGGACACCAATAGACTCATTTATAAGAAAGTAAAGTAAGATTAAACTTTGTTAAGCAAATGTTTGTTATAGCTTAGTGGTGAAGAAACAGTCCATATTTAACACATGTGCTGTGTCCATTCATCTAATTTGTTGCCCATGCATTCAAAATCTAGATGTAGAAAAAGAAATTGAAAGTTAATAAATAAGATAATAAGGCTCCAAAATATAAATGGTGTCGTTGGTATGATTTATGTGTAGTTGGTTTGATTAGTGTGTGGATGCGATTGACATGAAACAACTGAACAAGCCTTTTAATCAAAATGTTATATTTTCTAATATTATTGAATTTTGCTTAATCCAACTTTTTATTTCTTAATGCTTTGAATATGGACTCGAAATGTTTGGCTCATTTATGTAGATAATTTCTTATATTCTATTTTTCGAGGGGCACTTAGAGAAAACATATATTTTGGCACTTTCAGAAACACATATATTAGTTTGCATTTTGAAAATAACTACTAATAACAATACATTTTTTCCCCACATTTTTTGTTTATCTTAATAAGTAACTTTTATTATTTTCCAAGTGGTTAATGATTCTAAATGAAACTCCAAGAATAATAATGTTCTGGTGAGGGAGAAAGATGATTAAATTACTAAGCAAATAGCTATAAGTCAAATAACACATTCATAATTAAATAAGATTTGTACTATAAATTGTATTATTCGGTTAATTAATTATTCGAAGTTAGAAAAATACTAACGAGAGAAAAAATTATGGCAACGGCCACATGCAAATCCTCAAAAGTAAAGCAGAAATATATTAACTATTAAGAAAACTTTTATCATATGGTTTGGTAGCACGTTAAATCAAACTTTAATGTCCAAAAAGATGTATTAAATGCTTCCCACATTAACATTTAATTTTCAATAATCCCAAGTTCCCAACTTCTTTTATTACAAAAGTAAACAAATATTGTGCAATATATATAACTGCTGCTTATATTATAGAATAAGTAGGTGAATCAATATATGTATCCTAACATATAATTCTAAGTACATCATCATTTACTATTTTCTACCCCAAATTGTTCTGAAAAAATCATATTAACTATTTTAGTTACTTTAGTATAATATTTTTGTTTTGCTTAACTGTTTTTAGATATAAAAGCAAACTTTTTATTGATATTATGGAGTTAAATTAATATTTAGAATAACCTCAGTATTAGAACAAAGTATTAAAACATAGTAAAACGACATAGTTAAATTGATATTTAGAATAACCGTAATAGTGGATGATTATGTCAATTGACACTAAAACATAGTCTCTTTCGCCTTAGTCAATGTAGAGGCTAGGCACCAAAGAGCCATAAGACCATCTTCAACAAGGGATTCTTATTCTATTTTTTTAATATTAAAAGCATTTTTTTTTCATTTGAGTAATATTGAGTAACTCAAGCCAAACAATATCCACAGATACAATAAGAACACGAATACAAACACTAAACTATCAAGCAAGAGGATAATTGGTTCTGAAAACAAAAATCCCTAAGATAAGGGAGAAATAGAGCGGCCAGTAAAAACCACAACCACCTCAATCACTTGGAAACCAACAAAATCTAACTAAAGGGTATAACTCTCTTATCGACAAAGATATCTTGGAGTCAATGCGGAGCACCAGACATAAAAATGACACTATGTAAATATGACACTTCAACTCCTTCGTAACACATTTAGCAATGAGACGAATCCCTCTAAAAAATAAGGGTTGAAAAAATGACAAATCCCATTCCATCAATTGAGATAGCAAAAGCCAAAGCTCTGAAACCTGAAACAATATTAAAAATATTTAAAAAATAAAAATTATGGAGAAAGAATTAGATTTAGTTTTTAAAGAAGAAATTTGAGAGACTTTTTTTAACCATTTAAAAACCTTCTTTCTATATATGACATTATATAATTAATTTATTTCCTTTTAAATTTATAATTTAATTATATTATTAAATTAAATTAATATAAAATTTATAAAATACTTTATATAGAATATCTCTCCTTGGAGATGGGGTAACCTCGTTAACATAACCTGTTTTTGTAGAGTATGAGCATATTCATTATGAGAGAAATAGTGATTTTTTTTCCAAACTAGGATTATATACAACACCCATTTCAACATCTACGTAACTTGGAAAAACCGGTATATCGACGATAACAAGTTCATTAAGCATGTCTAGTCTAAGATGGTTGTGAAAGAAGTCTGCACCACGAGCTGCGTACAAATTTAAATATGCATCAATGCTCACCACTTCCACAGCAGTTGGTATGTATCTAATCCCACCCTATAACAAAAATTAGGTAACTTTTGTTATACTTTAATATAGTTGAAATCAGGTAATATATTTTCTATACAATTTACCGTTTAGTAAATCACTTTTGTCGTTCATCCTATCAAACTGGGAGGAGGAAAACTTGTTTGGAAAACATCACCCTGGTTAACGGTTTAGGTAGTTTATAGATTTAAAAGGCTAGTGTCCAATCTTTAAAGTGTTGTTCGTAAATTTGCTTGGGCTGGAACGACTGATGTTGGGAGTTTAAAAGTGGCCTTAGGCCATTAGTCTTCTTTAACTGCAAACTAGATGTTGGATCCGCGCACTTGCGATATTAAACTTTTGATCAAAAAAATCAGTTTATATTATTAAGGGAGGATTACTAGATAACTCTTTTAAATAGAAATATTCATTAGAATAGCTGAAATTTTGTTTTTATTACTGAACTAACCTAACATACCGATTATGCCCTTCGAGCCTTTGATAACAAAAACGGTATTTATGATTGTGCCATTACTTTTCATTTGCCACGTCAGCGAGTTGTTTGACGGTAGACTTATTTCGTTTGGTCAATGGCTGGTAGATTTGTTTTTCCCCGGTAGATTTGTTTTGTTTGGTAGACTTATTGTGCTTACGATGCAATAGAATTTTTGGGAACGGTAGAGTTGTTTCTTGAACGGTAGATTTGTTGGGGAACTTGATAGACTTAAAAATATGTTGTGAAAAAATTTTTGTTTTCGACCCTACCAGAGGGTGATTGGTTGACTTTTTACGTTCATTGACTTTGAATGGCGATAGATTTGTTTTTGGACTTGGTAGATTTATTTTCATTTGGTAGACTTAGTATTTGTGGTGGTAGATTTTTGTTACTCCTAAATCTGTATTTACTTGGTGGTAGAGTTATTTTGTTGATGGTAGAGTTTTTAGTGCGAACGAATCCTGGTAGAATTATTTTGCTGTTGTGGTAGATTTACTTCATTTTCGTAGTGGTAGAGTTATATTTTTCATAATTACCAGAATAACATCATTGGTAGATTTATCGTGTTACGTGGTGGTAGACTTATTATGTGCTGGTAGATAGTTGACTTTTTTACAGATCGTGATTGCGTAGTGGTAGACTTTTTATGGCGAAGAACATTGAAATCAAATGTTGATCAGTGGGATGTTGATTTTGGACGTGATAAGAATGCGAATATTGCAGTGAAGAGATTCAATCTCTATAGCGATTGTTGAAGACTCGTTCATTACATTTCAAAATTAATAGAAAGTACATAGAGAAGCAGTTCTTAAAGAAAGAAAGTACTTAGAGATGTTCAACGAACGAAGTGCATAGAGATAGATAAAACGATCCACAGTAGAAAATAGACGCAATTAAAACTGAAATCTAAGCAGTTGGTACTGAAGAAAAAAGGTAGCACTCGTGGCAACACATTAATGGGTGTTTGAACCTGCAGCTTGGAAATTCTTCTACTTTGAAAACATTGGGCAACAGATCTGCAGTAGCACTCTGCGTTCCCATCTTGGTTCGAGAAACCTGTATTCGACTGTTAAACCCTCGTTCACTGCATTGGAAAATTTGATGATCTTACTGGACACACAAGTTAAAGAAAGTACATATAGAAAGTACTTAGAGATGTTCATTGAACGAAGTACATCGAGATTGAAGTATCGATTCATATTACACAGTAGAAAGTACACGATATTAGAACTCAAATCTTGGAAAATCTTCTACGCTGAAAATTTGCAGCAAACCTTCTTGGTTCACGTTTGTAGGTGGTGTTAAATCCATTATACTGCCAAACCATGTCTCATATGTTTTGACATAACGATTTGGACTCAATGTAAGGATATGTTCTGATTTGGTAGATTTATTGATAGATTTATGTATGTTCGTGGTAGATTTATACATGATTTAGTGGAAGATTTATGCATGCCGTGCTGGTAGATTTATATTTACTAATGTCTTCCCCATTTGTACATGTCGATTACTGGAAGTTACATTGAGCTCTATGATATATAAAAGTCAAATCGGTGTATCAAACAAATCTACCATCATTATCAAATCTATTATACCAAATAAGTTACATATATGAAAAATCTACCACCATAATGAAACATATCTCATACCATAATTAAATCTACCATAACGCTTAACTACTAATAAAATTTATACATCAAATCTACCATCAAGGGAAACCAGAATTTTAATGATCCAAAACCTATTAAAACGGGAAAACAAAAACCCTAGGAACAAAACTGTTGCAAGCCGCCGCTATATCCATCTCTGAGAAGATCGGCCACCAGAGAATGCGATGACCATTCACCCATCTGAAACCACTCTTTCGGGGAAGATATTCACATACTTTTCGAAGCCTCCATAGGGAATTCCGCCGGAGAAAAAGCAACCAAACATAAGAGAAGATGAAAAAGTCGATCCAGAGACAAGCTGTATCGGCCATGGATCAACCGCCGCAGAT